CATAATTATTGATATCCTGCGCATTTATGAGCTGAATGGATTGCTATTGGCCATTTTGAATCTGACAATCACATGGTTTGCTCTGTCAGCAATGACAAATAGAAGAATGGGGTCTCATTCATCATCAAAACGAACATATCAAGATCAATCATGAAGTACAATGCTGTCTGTGGTAGGACAATATCTATACAACTACAGGAAAGACCAGTTAATACCACTATTATTCAAATGTATGCACCAACCACTAAAGCCAGTGATGATGAAATAGAAGAATTCTACTAACTTCTTCAATCTGAAATTGATCAAACATGCATTCAAGATATATTGATAATTACTGGTGATTTGAATTCAAAGGTTAAAAACAAAGATGAAAGATCAGTAGTTGGAAAATATGGCCTTGGTTTTAGAAACAGTGCTAGAAATCGCATGATAGAGTTTTGCAAGATCAATGATTTCTTCATTGAAAATACCTTTTTTAAACAACATGTTGTTGTTGTTAAGTGCCATCGAGTCGGTTCTGACCCATAGCGACCCTGTACAGGGTTTCCAGGGGTGTAAATCTTTACGGGAGTAGAAAGCCTGATCTTTCTCCCGCGGAGCGGCTGATAGTTTCGAACCACTGACCTTAAGGTTCGCAGCCCGATTCGTAACCACTACACTACCAAAGCTCCTTATACACATGGACCTCACCAAATGGAAAACACAGAAATCAATTTGACTGTATCTGTGGAAAGAGATGGTGGAAAAGCTCCATATTATTAGCCAAAACAAGCCAAGGCCAGACAGACAGTCAGTTGCTTATATGCAAATTCAGACTGAAGCTGAAGAAAATTAAACAAGTCCACGAGAGCCAAAATATGACCTTGAATATATCCCACCTGAATTTAGATATCATCTGAAAAACAGATTTGATGTATTAGATACTAAAGACTGAAGACCAGAAGAATTGTGGGATGACATCATGAACATCATACAGGAAGAAAGAAAAAGGTCATTAAGAAAGCAAGAAAGAAGGAAAAGACCAAAATGGATGGCAGAAGAGACTGAAATTGCACAGAAAACATCACAAGAAGATGAAAGGAATACACAGAGTCACTGTTCGATGTTCAACCATTTCAAGACGTAGCATATGATCAAGAGCCACTGATCCTGAGGGAAGAAGTCCAAGGTGAACTGAAATCATTGGCAAAGAACAAGGCTCTGGGAATAGATTGAATATAAATTGAAATATTTAAACAAACTGATG